AAATATACATTTAATTACGTAATTAAAATTATTCTGTAATTATTAATTATAGTAATTTAATATTATCGTAATTATTTACAGTAATACTGTAATTATTTACTGTAATTATTTATTACAGTAATTTTATTTACGTAATTAAAATTACTCTATAATTATTAATAAATCTCTATTACAGTTTGTAAAGTTTTAGCTACAGAACTTGAAGCTAGGCTGGATGAAACAGGAAAGACAAATGATGTGTTAGAAATTGGATATTCAGTAGATGATGTTGTGCCAAAGAAGAAAAAGGAATATAAGAAGTCGTAAGTGTCACTGATACAAACTGAATGACATCATTCTGATGAAACTATTAGGTGTTGGAATTAATTCGTAGCGTTTTTTAATGAAAGAATGTTATTTATTTCACATGAGCATTAAAAAATACATTAATGAAAGTACTTCTCATCACTTGTAAAACGCTACGAATTAATTCCAACACCTAATAGTATAAATTTTGTCTTTCCAGAGAGTTACGGTTAGTGGAGTCCATGGAAAATGTTTGTGAACGTATATTGGAATACAATATACACAAAGAACGTACAGACAGTACGAGATTTGCAAAAGGAATGAGTCAAACATTCAAAACATTGCATGGCCTCGTGTAAGCAGTGCATAGATTAATATGATCTTTTATGTAGAATATTCTGAAACTTAACATATATGTATGATTATAGGGATAGAGGAGTCAATGTAGATTTAGGTATTCCATATGAGTTATGGGACAAACCTTCTGTTGAGATAACTACTTTAAAAACGCAGTGTGAAGATTTGCTGGAAAATTATGAAGCTGACATCGAAGACTGGTATTACAACCATCAAAGAGAGGTTTCTTTAATTAGGTAATGTCCTAGAATATATTTGTCGCAATTGTTGATATATCATTTATGTAGATATATATTATGAAAACAGCGTTTATTTTTGATTAAAAAATGATCATTTAGGTATTTATGTTCTGAGCGTGCATTGAAAGGACAAAATGATTCTTGCTTAAATGAAAAACTCAATGCTGAGAAAGATGCCAAAAAACAAAAGAAAAAGGAGGTATTAAAAGAGGATACAAATAGTAAAGGAAGTATGAAGGATAATTCCTCAAATATGAAGCAAGAATTGTAAAACTACATAAATAAATGAACAAATCATATAGGTATCTTTTATCAATGAATTAAATAGAATGTGATCCTAATATACCCAGTAGAAATATAATACAACAGACTTCTGATCCTATATAAAAGTAATTTGTAAATATTAGCATTGTTTATATATCTAGATATGTGTGATATTTATTTCTTTTTTGTACTGTTGAAAATTTTATAATAAAAACTTTTTCTATTTCGTACAAGATTCTCTTGTAAATGTATATATTGATAGAACATCATATCAATGTTAACTCAAATGTTATATTGAGACGAGAGAGAGAGAGAGAGAGAGAGAGAGAGAGAGAGAGAGAGAGAGAGAGAGATTCATATTTGGTTCTTATATTTCAGACCATTTTAAGTATAACCTTAAAATGTCATGAACTAATTAGAGAACTGCATGAGCATCTTAAGACCGTTTTAAAATAAGAACCGATTATAAATAGGCCTGAAAAATCTGTTAACAAGTTTGTAGCTTTTTTTATATAATATATGAAAATAATTCTTAAAAGTATGAATTGTTTTATTAAATAAAAATAATATCAATTGTACTAAAAACAGCATATAGTTTATTATTTACAAATGAAATACATACTCTTCAGAAAAAGTTTTTCGTTATATTTGCTACACTCAATTATAAATTATTTGAATCTTGGGATGGTTTGGATTGATTTCTGAACCGTGGTGGTACCCATTTAATTTTACCACGAAGTTCTCTCAAACGTTGGAATTCTTCCTTAAAGTCCTTATGCTCATCTCTAAACAGACCGTAATTACGCAGATGTGTCATCAATAGCTCGGTCTCTTTAAATCTTGGATAATATTCTACAATCTCCGGTCGTTTGTTCACTGGTTTCTCACTAAAGAGCTTTACGACTTTCATCGATTTCTGATTAGTTGGTCTGATTACTTCGCCAAAGATTCGATTACTCAGACGATTCATGCGCATAGCGTAAGTAGTGCCCACGTTTATCAAATTCACGTATTTACTCATCTTGATTGAAGTATTAGTTCTTCTGTTGTGTCTATAAAAAAAGAGAAAATAAGATTACAAATCGGAGATTAGAATGAAACTTTCTATGTTCAAGACAATCGACAGAAGTCAATTTTAAAAGAATTCCGTATTTATTCACTTACCACTTTTATAGAATTACAGATTAAATTGTTTATTTTAAACACGAAGAGAGAGAAAGGAATAGAAAAACATCGTTCACATCATATAGAGTCTATGCTTACATTCGCCTATGCGTACAGTGTACACATTCACAAATTGCACAGCTGATTATATGTACATATATACAGCAGAGTGACAAAGTATGTGTAGTTAGAAGCAAGTCTATTAGCGCTCTACGTGCGCAAAACGTGAACTACGTAGCCATGTTCGTAAATATATCTGATGGTAACACGATGTTATGTCCATGCTCTTCTGGTTCTGTTCTGTGCTATGCTCACCGCTTCAGTGATGAGTATTTTCCATTTGATGACATAAGTCGACACAAGTATCACTCTATCTTTGTTGCTCTCTGAATATTAAGAAAGATGTTTCTGTCACTAAATGAAAAGCACCCACATAATCTTGGATATGTATATATTACATATCCCTATCATCGAGATATGGCATCTTCTTCCTAGCAAATGAGAATGGATTGAAATGAATTGAAATGGATTCAGATTTTCAGAAATATTGATTCGCGAATGTTAAAATGAATGCTTTTCTATTCTGAATGCATTTTTATTCATTTGGGAATTGCATGGAGCATATCTCTATGCCTTTCAATCTAAGAATAATATTAGCTTTTTTTGTACACAAACACAATTGTGAATACTGTTCAATTCAAAATTTTGAATAGGAAATGCAGTTTTTCAATCCAATTGCATCTAATTGAATCTAATTGAATCCAATTGAATCGAATTAAATCCAAAAAAAGTATTCGCTATTTAAAATACGCATTCGGATAGAAAAAAATTTTAATCCATTTTAATCCATTCTCGTTTGCTGGATTGTTACTTGCGACGTAAATTGATGCTTAGATCGGTCTATTCTATTTGATTTTGATATATTTGTATGTTATTTATCTATTTATATAATTGATCATACGGTCTGTTTTTTCCTGCGCTGTAATTGATATTTATTTTACTTTTTTATTTACTCATGCCTTTTTATTTCTATTTTTTATTATATTATTTATTCCTCAGTCAATTCTTTCTGGTCTGATTTGTATTATAATTTATAAGATCACTACTTTTAAGCCTATAGATTTTATTATAAGTTTTACCATTTTTGCTGTACTCTAAAATTCAATTTTTTATCCACTATTTTCTTTACTTTTTCTCGATAATAACGAATTATTCCAAAAGTAAAATTACGTAATTTCAAATAAAAAATCACGTACTGATTTGAAACAATCCGTGACTTACATGTTTTAATTACATGATTTCATCATGTAATATTGTGACGTGATTTTTTTTAGTAAGGATCCGTTTAACAAATGCAACTGCATTGACGACGATTCAAGATATTGGTGCTGAAATTATCAGTAAATTAGATTGCCCGGATTTTCCGAGGCTTCTATAAGCGAATCGCGAAGCCCGTTAAAAGTCACGCCGCTGCAGAATTCCGTTGTTCTTCGCCTAGGTGAGTACCACAACTTGAACTCTCTCCACGATTTATTCTTTTTGTGCATTTTACTAATTAAAATTAATAGCGACGATTGCAAACCGATTTAAGCATAAAATAATTATTATTATTATTTAATGCAAAAATTTTAATTAAATAATAGAAAGATTACTTTATGTAAAGCCTTAAAATAATTTTGTTGCAAATAATTAACGATTAATTGTGAATGTTATTAAATAGAACGCAAAAATTAGCTATAAATCTTCGCAAAAATATGAGCACAATGTAAAAATCGTGCAATCATTATACTGCAAGATACGAAAATTTATTGTTACTTTATGTTAGCAGTAAATCGTACGTTACAGTGATGTTTGAGTTTTACTGAAATGCAATTATGCTGTATTTCCTCTCAAGAATGATCCTGTGCGCGCATTCACGCGTTACATTATATTTCCGTTTTACGGAAGATTCGTTTAATTGCGGCGTTTATTTAACTGTGATTGTGAAACATCTACTAATCGGAACAAATGAAATTGTATCGGACATTTTCGTTAAACGATTCACAACAATTCATAATCTACACATATGAATTGTTTTTATAAATTTCTTAATTTTAATAAATTAAATACGTTGCGAAGCATGAGAATAAAAGATATTTATGTTATAAGAAATCGTATTGAATAAATATGATTATTCACAATTTTATTTGGCAACTTAGGAATAATTTATGTGATATTTTAGTCGCAATATCTCATACATGCTTACTCTAATTAATGATATTGTAATAAATGGTCAAGAAATACTGATAATTGAATATCAGTGAGAATCCTGTTGCGATAATTTGACACATTCAAATAGTTTGAACTGATAAATAATACTGTACATCCTGCGTGTTAAAATATACGCACACACATACAGGAAAGAGATACATTTATTAAATTTAAAAGAATTTATTTTTTAATTGATTAAAACGTGCAACTCAATATTTTACAAATTTTTAAGAAAATAATAAAATTTTATTAATTAATTTACTTTTATATTACAATTTATTTTTATTGAATATTTATAAAATATAAATATTTAATAAAAATAGTGTGCAGTGTGATATCAAGAAGCTTATCGCTATTTCCTTACTAAGTGATAGCACAGTTTTTTATCACGTAATATAAATAAGTGCATCCATTGTCACTCGTAATATTTGTTCTCGAGAATTTGTACTTTCAACGTATAATCATGTTGCGATGTGTGTTAGGAGTGCTTTTATATGCGATAATATTATACCGTGTGGCATCGGAAAATACAGTTGCAACTGATACAGCAATCAACGGATTGATAAGTAAATTAATATATAAGAAAATAATTGCAAAATATATCTCTCTTTGGTAATTTATCTGAGATTTAAAGAAGAGAAAAAAAAAATTATATTATAATTACATTATATCTTAAATGTTAAATTGATATTTATCTTTCATTAATGGCATTTAATTTACTTTATGTATTCCATCGTAATCGTTGTAGGAGAAAATATTTCAATAAATTCACAAGATTTTCCTATAGCTTCGGGCAAATTATTACCAAACACAAATGGAAATTTGTCTCCGGCACAGCAGATTATTTACATTTACGGACCGCGTCAATGGAAAATGCAAGACGGTAACAATCTCATAGAAAAAGCAGGAAGCGATTACCTTATGACACCTGGTATTGGTGCTCATAAACTTCACGTTCGCAAGTTGCCATGGAATAAAGCTCGTAGAATTTGTATTCAAGAAGGGGGTGAGTTTCTAACAGTGATTTTATTTGATGATTCTCTCGGCTCATCGAATTGCTCTGCCATGTTTTTATCATTTTCTATGAGCAATAATAAATTCTATTTCTTAAACTTTCTTTTGAATGAAAAGTATATTAACGACGTCTAAACCCGAAAAGCAAAATTACGTAACTTTATCGGATTAACGCAAATCTACCTAACGATGTAGGTCATTTGGCTATCATTAACAGCAATTCGGAAGAAAAATTGCTGCTGCACATCTTAGAGGAGAACAAAATAAATCAGGCATGGCTCGGCGTGCACGATCTCTATGAAGAGGGCGATTGGAACACGATCATGGATGAGCCTTTGGAAGCTACGGGATACTCAAAATGGACACTAAAAATTCCTAACGAGCCTGACAACTATAATGGAAAACAGCATTGCGGAGTTCTTCTAAAGGACGGAGGAATGGATGATCTCGAATGCACTGCAATAGTTGCTTTCTTCTGCGAAATTACTCTCTGAATTCTCATAAATCACGTGAACGCAAGATCGTAATCAGACGTGGTAACAGTACGCGCTTCATCAAAGACTATCTATAATTAAATAGCCATTCTAAGATGTGCTATTAAGATCAAATTAACGTCAGTAACAACGCAGGCGTTTTTTACGATTAATAGGGTTATAGATTAATCTTACAATGAAGTTGATTATAGGTCGCAAGGTCTATTTTTATACTAACGATTATCTTTAGGGATATTAAATAGTGATACTAAATACCATGGAATACGTGCGTAATGTATATTAGAAAATGTAAGAAGACTTATATTTTTATAAAATACGTTGATTCTTTAAAAACATGTACTTTTAACTAATAGGATAAGGTAAAGAGGATGATTGGTAAATAATATAATACAAACAAAAAATGAAAGTGTCATCATAGTGTTCTAGATTAATTATAATAGTTGAAATTAACAGAAGGTATAAATTAAGTGACTCGAGTTGTAACTAGAATCACTTTAAACATCTTGTTATCGAGAACGTTGAAATGAGAAGGGTGGAAGAGGCTCGTTGCAACTGAAAGGTCAAAGGGCATTTGTATTCCGTGTATCTCTCAACTGGATCAGCAAACTGCGTATGCAAAAGGCAATGGCAAGCATTCTTCGCGGTTCCATCCGACGTTTCTTTACATCGGTTTGCATTCGTCGTGTTTCACAAATGAATCATCAAATTTCATCCATCGCCGGTGATCGGTAGATCACTGCGACGAGATCTCGGATGCTCATTCTCTCGCGGGGTCGAGTTTCCTCTTTTCCTCTCAACCCCGACGAGACCATCGTCCGCGTTACGAACGTAGCGTCCGATAGCTACTCTCAAGCCATCCTTATTGATTTTCCTGTGTAGGCGCACGCGCTATCCCGTTCCCGATTTGCGACAAGGGGGGTGCGGCTGTAACCATGGATCCCAGTGTACTCGCCACCATGGACAAGGACGCACTGAAGAAGCAGATCGAGAATATGAAGTACCAGGCGTCCATGGAACGGTGGCCCCTGTCGAAGAGCATCGCGGCGTAAGTCCATCGCGGCACCAGTCGAATTTATTATCTTCATCATCGTCGTTGTCGTTATCGTTGCTTCCTGTATTTGCTAATTGTTCATCGGTTTTCCTCCCAGCTTACGTATCATTTACACGCGTCTGTAGATTTGAGAAGACTGTCACTCTCGCACGTAGATGCCCTAGAAAATGCCTCGCAATTTCCGTCGATCGTAGATTCACGTAGGTAAATTTTTGAAGCAGAGCTTTTCTTCAGAGATTGAAAATTTATTATTTTTTTGCTGTGATATCCTTGAGATTTTCATTACCATTATATACAAGTCTTAAATTAATTTTCTAAATTTTCACCATAATATTTTATTTATAAACGAATTGTTTGTATATACATACATTCGTTTACATATAAATATAAATTTATATATAAATTATAAATTTAATTTATATATAAATTTAACGTTTATATATACATTTAATTTAATACAGTTATCTTTTTATATTAATAATGTTTTTTATATTCAATAATGTTTTAACTCTGTAGATGTTGAACAGTTCTGTCATTTTTTATTTAAAGTTTCATGAGCTGTATTTAAATGCATGATTGGGAAGATATTTAATTATTATTTAATTTTATTTAAGAAAATCCGAGAAGCTAGTTCTATTCTTTTTAAATCTTTGCCTTATTTAAACGAAACGAACAATTCATCTCGCACTTGTTTGTTACTAGATGCAACTAAGATAAAAAAAAATAAGTACTTGGATTTATTTTTCATTTATTATTTTTTATTATTCAATAATATATGTTTTTACAAGTACTTGTGCCATATGTTCATAGTATTTGATTTCTAGATCATTATTACGTTACATATAAGACACTTCCTTTAATTTTTCACACATTTTTTGTATATTTTGATCTCTAAACAATTGCTAGATATTTTTAATACAACTTAAATAATACCTAATATACAGGAAACATTATTATGTTTGTGATCTCGAGATAGTGTATTTAATTTTTACATCACGGGCGTGTCTATTCGTGACAAGTTTCTTTGAATACTTCAAGTATTCTCTATGTACAAAGTAAATAATGCGAAGGCTATTTAACGGTAACAGCCGTGACTTTCTAGTTCCTTAATAATGGACGATGTAATTTTCGCTGATGCGTGATCATAGAATGCCTTTTCAGACGAATTGGCTCGCGCATAAACCTACGTAATCACGCAGGTTGTTATCGTTCAAGGTTCAACTGTATCTCCTACAGTTGAAGGATAACATTGTTAAAAATTAAAGAAAATAATATTTTTTATTTGTATTTACTAACCATAATTACTACAAGTATTACTACTTTTTTTCGAAATACAACAGAAAAAGAAAAAATAAAATGGGTAAGATCCTATTTTAGCTTCTCTAATGGAAGTACAAAATATTTTATTAATTATAATCTTAAAAAGAACATGAGACTAATTAGCGAAGTATTTTAAATTACATTAAAGTAATAATTTTAAAATTTATCTTAAAATTTATTAAATTTTTAAAAAGGAATCTCCATTATCATTTCAGGAATTGATCAATGTAACTTGGAAAATCCATTAAATGAGCGAAATGTGGAACGGAATTTTTGCTACGTGTTAAAAACTGCGAATCGTGACCGCAAATCAAAATGCACGCTTCTGATTACGGCGTAGGTGTGTTCCGGTGTTCCCGATCGCATTTTTCTTGCCTCGAAGCGCAGCGCCTTTTCCCAGATAAGTCATCTCGCGCGCCTATAAGTGCAATCGCGCGAATTGCTGGCTGACAGTCAAGGCTGAATCGTACACAGCGTCCCCGTGTTACGTGGAGGGACAGGATCTCCTTGGACGACGGTGCGTGTTCGCGTTAATCGCGTTTTTGCGGCACACACACACACAATTACTTTCAGGGAACGCGCATTTATGTACGCGAGTACGAGCGCGATGAGAGAGCGAGAGTCCGTAGAAAACCTGACGCGGCGATTATGATGACTCAATGATCGGCGATGATCTAATTGTGCCACAGCTGGCCCCAATTGCGATCGTCTCTCGATGTAATGTCTTCGCGATTTCGTCATTTTTAAGTGGGATTGTGCGGAAAGAGTTTACGCGAAAATTATCCCCGCGTTCAGTTTCAGTCGGTCCGGCTCCAGTTAATTATATATCCTTCGCATGTCACACTCTCGCTAATGATCGAGCACGGTTGAGTTATTGCGAGATTAAATGCTCGCAAAATCGTTCTGCGAACGTTTTTTAACTCACGTTTCCAATCGATTTAATGGCGATGTTAACGACCTTTTGTAAATAATAAGCCAATACGGAAAAAGTACTTGTTGTTTTATAAATTGCACAAAATAACCGCACTCGAATTGACAATTTCTTTACCTTAGTAGACAACTTATTTTAAATCATATGTATTATATATCCAAATAATTACAATAATTCGTTTGTAAAACGAAACTTATGCATTACAGACGTGCTTCGTTTTTGCTAAAAAAAAAAAAACTTTCCTTTATTTTTATTAATTACTCTAGTGAAAATTTTCCTTATAATTTTTATACGAATTGAAACATTTTTCAAAAATACTTAAAAATATTCGAAAAGTTTATCATCCCATAATTTTTCAAAAATATTTTTTAGATTTTATAACATTTTATCAGAAATTATATCTACAAAAAATCTTAGAAATATTATCTTATGATACTTCATAATTAACATGTATGAAAAATTCTGAGAAAAGATATATGTTTTCTGAGAATGTTTCAATTCGTACAAAAAAATGTGAGAAAGTTATAAAAATATATAGAAATTTTTAAAAATTATATGAAAAATTCTGAGAAAAATTTTCACCAGGACAATACTGTTTCGTCATCATTTTGTGATTAATCACTAACAATACCAATACTTAAAAAATATCGATACTGGCGATGGCAACCGGACGAAAGTATCAACAACTTGCTGAAAGCATCTCCGGTCACCTGCATCGCAAGGATATTTTGCAAGGTCCGGTATTACGTGAATATCGCACGAGACGAAAGGGAACGGAGGGATCAGGAAGCGGGCGTGAAAATTGTATCGTCCTATTATCGGAGCGCGAGATTAGGTCGATCGGTAAGGGATAAAAAGAAAGAGGAGAAAAAAGGGGGTGACGCGCGGAGAGGCGGGGGGGGGGGGGGGGGAAGGGGGAAGGTACTCGACGAGCCGCTCACACCGCTCGAGAAGTCTCGCGAGACCGCGGAAATTTTTTTGCTTTCGCGCACGATACTCGCCTCGAGGCTCTCGAGAGTCGAAAACCGCCGCGAGAAACGACCGATTGTCGATCCGAACGCGCCGCAAGCGGAATCAAAAGAACCGCGCACCGGAACAAAAAGACCGGCGTCCGCTTCCCGCATGCCCGCCGAATCGTATCGTCCATTAACGACGCGCCCATGCGCCACGGACAGTTTCTCCCTGTAACGATCTAATTCCGGTTTAATTAAGAGATCAATCGTGTACACGCGACAAGTAGAAATTGCAAAATGTCGACGTTAACCGGCAGTTAACTGGCAGCGGCGCGGGCGGGGCAATGTGTGCCCCGACGTTGCGTCTCAGTTCCTGAATTTAGGATGACCTCCTTTAAACTCGGTTGAACTCGACGCCTGTTGCGTTTATCGGCACACAATGTGGGTCGTGTTCTTTCAATACGCCGTGGAAGTCTCATTACTCGCAGTACTTTAGCAGCGTTAATGATTATTAATAAATAAATTATTAAGACCTTTTTGTAATTCAAGAATTTGGATAATAAATTGTGATTGAAATAATACTTTATAGATGGGTGGGAAAAAAATACCGAAAGGGATATATTAGGTCATGTAAAAAGTATCCGCGGTTTTTTGTTCGACCCAATTTTTGAATGACCCAATATACATTTTACTTCTTCGTTTTATAATTCAATTTTAAGATTTAAACTTTCTTCTGTCTCCCTTTTTGCTAATTGGTTTCGAGAGAATTAATCTTATTAACTGGCACGCGCTTCCTTTCAAATTTCATTTTATACATAAATATAATGTCAACGGCGCGTGAATACTTGGTTAAACTAGAAATATTAGAAAATCCTTGGTATTTTTGTCAACCGATAGTTTCACTCGATCTTCGTGCATTAAATTGCGACTTCCATCCGCCAGGCTATAAAGATAGACACGAAAGTGAGACAAACCGTGAATTCGAGCGTGAAGTGAACAGAATCGCATTCATTTCATTTCTGCGACTGATCCGCTCGACGACTCTCGTTTGACATCGCGACTCCGGGAATCGCTCTGATTTCTGATTGCCGCTCATTATATAAACGACGGTCGCTGAATAACAGACGTCGCAGAAACGTGAATCGA